CAATCTACAGTGCCGCATATTGATGAAAATCCCACTTTTCATGCAGTGTATGATGCGTATTGGATCTGGGTTTGGGTTGTAAAGATGGCTGCTCGATACTAATTGGCTGAACAGGCAAAAATATTTAACTGAGAGTGGTTAGGCAGAGTGGAGGCTTCCTCATGAGACTCAGACAAGAGAGGAAAAAGTGATAATTCAGTCAGAGTCATGTTTTCTGGAGTTTATCATCAGAGTGCTGATTTCACCCATTGTAGGAATGTGTTTTATCTGTTTATGTTTATGTGTAGCTTTGCCAGCAGCCAGACTGATACGCAGTGTAAACATAGTATCAGTCTGTATCAGGCACACGTTGACTTTGTGACCTAAAGATTTGATGCATATTAGTTATATTAAATGATTCCTCAGGCCAATATACATCGCCTGACTCTGTCAATGCTACGGGCAGGGCTCCTCTCTTGAAATACTGCCTATGTAAATTGTGAGAAGCCCACCGTTGTTGGCCAGGTCATCTGACCTGGAATAGGGTATCGCTTTACAGCTCCAGGCTGTTATATTGTCATGGAGATAAGACTTTTGCTCTACTATTTTTCTTCCCTGTTGATGCCTGGCCATGGCTCAGACACGGAAAAAGTTTAAACATTCTGAGTAGGCTAAAATGAGAAAACGTGAAAGGGATCATACAGGCGAAAATACAAGAATCAATCTTGTAGAGGAGTTTGTTCATTGGCGCAGGCTGAAAGAAGAAGCCGGTTGTAATACTGATTACCTTTTCTCAACTTTATTATTAGACTGTAAACACTTTGCTCCTAGTACACACTCATATCTTTGTTATTATTTTCAATGTTTAGTAGAAGCAAAATATGGGCAGAGAAAGCAAGCAGGTTACAAACAAAACCTAACCGAGATGCCCCGTCCACCCCAGCGGCTGTTGACTGGAGCTCCTTAGCTGGTCCTCTGCGCCATGCGGAGCGGTCTGGCCTGCCCCGGCGGTGCTCTCAAGAGATCAGCAGCGTTTGCTTTAAAACATCTTTGTTATTATTTTCATTTAAAAAACAATGCTACTGTCTCCAAACCATCGAAAACCATCTAAATTCCCTCGTTTTCCTCCCTTTTCATAACTGCTTCTCTTTATCTTTTACTGATCCCACAAATTCTTGCCACCATCCAACTCCCAGTTCCCAGTACTGCCAGTGGTTTTTAAACCCATCGCGCTAACATATTTTCAGCTGTTATTCCAGCAACTCTGACAATAAATATCCACCACCTCTTCTAACTATTTTCCACTTGCTGCGAAACATCCCAAACTACAGAGCAGGGTTGGGCAAGCTACTTGTCCAGTGTAGCGAGCTAAGCTACCAGTTACTTAACAATAAATTAAGCTTCACTACACCAAAGCTACCACCTAAAGAATTATAGCAAGCTAAGTTACACTAATGTGTTAACCGTAGCTTAACTACATCAGAAGCTACTTAACGTTGTACCAAGCTAATATCAATTGAAAATGAGTCTGATGCACTGGTTAAAATATTTATTAAAGATCAGCCAATGACATAACAGTGTAAACATTGTTTTATGATCAGCATATTAAAATAAAAACTGAATTAATTACTAGTAGACAAACTAGTAAACAATCTGCTGTTATTAGAACCAAATTAAAGGTACTGTGTAGTGTTCTACACATGGAGACATGGCTATGAGTTTGCATTCAATGGACATCTCTAGGGAAAACAAAACCCTACAAATGGCATCTTATTTCTTTAGGGTCTCCCTTAGAGAAAACTTCTTCAGACCTCAATTAAACAGTCGATTCAAGTAACAAATGAAACTGTTTACAAAAGAAGGTGAAAAAATAAAGAAGCTAATTAAGAGATATATATACATTTATGTCTCACCGTATAATTTCATTTCTACCTACATATTTATTCATTGTATTTTTGGGGGCAATTAATTAAATGCTTATTTATTTATTTATTGAGCATTTATTATTTATGTATTTATTTTATATACGGTAGAGCTGTTCCTCCATACCTAAAAAATCTTATCTGTGCAAAGCCTTAAAACAGATTTATGTAAACATCCTGTCTGGTAAATTAGGCCATGAAAATACAATATCGAAGTTTCACTACTGCTCTCTAATTAGAGTATCTTAGTGGCACTCATCAGATTGAACTATCTGGAAATTAAAGGTGCCAATAAAGTTAAAGCTGATATATTTTTCACATTTTTATTTAAAAAAATATACTGTAGTTGACTCTTTTAATTAGTGTTTGGCTATGTAAAACAAATGGCTAGTCTTGGCCACATGATCTCTCTATGGCCAAGAACCTTGAAAATCACTCATGTTACAATTATAAAAATTGCATAAGCTTTTTTTTCTTAAAAACACTTCTGCTTAGCCACTTGGCTGGTCCCTTTCTATCACACACTGCTTGTTGGTAGGTGGGTAGCTTTCGTTTTACTAATTTAGATACAGCATTTGGCTAAAGTGAGTTGGGATTTACACTGACGCTAGATATTTTTACTTGCATACTGCAGGAGGGAAAATAGTGATTCACCTGATTGTGAGTTCTCAGGTTGGTATTGGATGTCCTGGACGTTGACAACAGTTTTTTTTTATTTTATATTTTTTATTGCAAAGCAGACATCTGTAAACTTATTTTTTTATCTGAGGATTCAACAAGTTTCGTAATCTCTGAAGATAAGGCCACGGTGTGGTAGGGACAGTTGGCTGCTCTTCTCGCTCTGCTCCTGTCTCCTCCTCCATCCTGTGTGTGTGTGCGTGTTAGGGGTGTGGGAAATAATCGTTTTGGCGATATATCGTGATATTCGGCTGCCCAATATAATATCGATCTTTCACTTCTTAGTATCGATTTTTTAAAAAAATGGTTACATAAAACATTGATGGGAAAATGGGCTACCTCTGCACCACCACTCTGGCAGAAAGCGCTGTGGAGCCCTTTAACTGTGCGTGCAGCACCAGATCTGTATTTGAGGCAGTCACAGTGGAAGAAAACTCCAAACAACATGGATAATAATACCTAATCAATATTTTCTGATGAAAATATACAGCACTTGCTGTTTTATCTCATCATTTGATTTTGATAGCTGGGAAAAATATGGCAATATATAGTGATACTGCAATATCGGGATTATATCGTATCGTGACCCAAGTATCGCCACATTTATCGAATCGCAACACTCATGCCAATACTCACCTCTAGTGCGTGTGTCTGTGTGTGTCATTCTTTGAGTTCAACTGCAGTACGCATGTGCATGTTTCGGTAGATACACACAGAAGAGGCAGAATAGAGGCTCATGCGTGAATGTCTAACGAATAACTCTGATTGTTGTTTCAAAGTAGAAAACCTGCTTTTATTACTTAGTTTTGCCCTGGATTTTGTAGCGTTTGTGGACGCTACGTCGCTACTTGATCAAAGTAATAACGTCACTATAGGAAAGTTACTTGATAAATAAAGCAGCGAGGCTACGGTCAAGCTACTGGAACATGTAGTTAAACTAATAGCTTCGCTACATGTAGCGGCGCTACTGCCCATCACTGCTACAGAGGCTTCTGCCTTACTATCACTGCAAAGAAGAACAGCCTTAAAGACGACCCAGAGAAACCTAACTACTAAAACATAACATATCTTAGTCTTAATGAGGGGTGTAAATCACACCCATCATGGCGATTTAATTCAGTATCAATTTCCTGACCCAACGATTCGATTATTTTTGATACTCAAGAATACACCACCGATATGATTCGATTAATCATTTAGTATTTGAAATAAATCAATGAAAGTTGTAATCTTGTTATGCATTTTATTAGACACACAACAACAAATAACAGAAGTAGCAGAGTTGTACTTCACCTAGGCCTATGAAAACCCTATTCACAGAATAATAATAATGCCTCTGCGTTATAGATTCTGAAAGGCCTTGCATAAAAAAAAAACCTGCAAACGGAAAGAGGGTAGTGGCTGATGCGAGGCAGGAGGGTAAAATAGGTTTAGCGCCACCGCAGCACGGGAGTCAGAATTACATTCAGGAGAAAATTGATAAAAATAGACCAGAGGAAAAAGAAAACATGAATCTATACTCATGCGGATGTGTCGATGCATCGGATCGTGGGTTGTTGGATCGATGCATTGATTCAAAATAATTATTAACACTCCTAGTCTTAACTCACACCTCACCAATGTCTCATTCTCTCGCACATGGCTGACTTAAATATCATGTCAAGTCAACAGACTTGAGACCTGATCATGGCTATTCTCTAGATCCTAGGTCTTCAACAGGGGGTCCGCGACCCTTAGGGGGTCCTTGGAGGTACTGCATGGGGGTCGAACGTTTTGGTTGATTAGACTATTTTAAAATTCCCCCCTGCAATTTTTCCATTAATTGAAATGTCTTTAAATCCACATTAACATGAATTCCACAGACTGTAGTAAACAGATAAATGGAGGCAGAAGATGTCTTTCAGTCATTAATGCACACATTCAGCGACACACAGGAGCTCTTTCAAGCTGGGCACCGTTTCATTCACAACACCTGTCCTATCAGCCAGGAATCAGAATGAGAAATACTTTAATAATCCCAGGGTGAAATTACTTTCATTACATTACTCTATCTGTAATAGAGTGACTATAGGACCAGTTTGATAGAACACAATTTCATACAATATGGGGGTCCCTGCTCCATCTCGCCATCAGTTGGGGGTCCTTGGCCTGGAAAACGTTGAAAACCCCTGCTCTAGATCCATGATCTAGACACTACATGTGCAACTTATATATGATGTATACTATTCCTGTCTGTGAATAACCTCAAAACTGTTTTTTGTTTGTTCAAAAAAAGAAGAAGAACACTGATATAAAGCAGGATTTATTTTTTGTTTTGTTTTTTACTGACATGTTAATGGACAAATAGGACAAATGTTTCCATGACAGACAGCCAAAACCCACCATACAAACCCTTTATGCTGACTCTTCTCACATCCCTGCTTGTCTTAAAGTCCCATATTCTTGGTATTTTTCATCCTCATACAACAGTAGAATACCATTGACTAAATGGTCTTTTAAGAACATTGTGGGCACAGCTACAGCCCTTAATAGACGGATCTACAGTTCATACTCTTACGTTATCTTCACAAAAATACATCTATGTCTTAAACTGTTCGTGTCCACTGCAGACAGATGTTCCTGAAGCTTTAGAGTTAAGGATTTCTTTCTTTCCCTATTTGTTCACAAAAATATCTATCCTCCTGTGCAAGCGCTTCCACCTAGATGTTGCCTCCTCCCCCACCCTACATTTTACTAAGGCTCAGATCGGTTGACAGTGGCTTCCTCTTCTTTCTACCAGACAGTTTCCTTATGAGAGACTTTCTGAAGGTCCCACACATTAGGAAGTAGACCAGAGGGTCGAGGCAAACATTCATTGCCGACAGGAAGAGAGTTCCCTCTTTGATCTGGTGAAGCCAGAATTTGCTGTCTTGGCTGAAGTGTGTAGGTGACACCTGGCTCATGGTGTAAGGTATTCGGCAGACATGGAATGGCACAAAGCAGATACAAAACACTCCCAGAATGCTGAAGATGTTGCGGTTGGAGTTGCGGTAGACTTCCCTGCTGTCACGTCGCATGCAGTGGTATGTTTTGTACACTTGTCGAGCAATGAAGGTGTAGGAGAAAGCCACAATAATGAGCGTCAACCAGAATAGGGACCAGGTAAATAGGCTAGTTGCTTGATGCCACTGTTTACCCAGTGGTGTCTTCAGTTGGATGCATTTAGTGAAGTTATGGCTGTTAGCCGGCCAGTTTGTCAGTATGCTATTGGGTGAGCAGCACAAAAAGAGTAGACTCCAGGTGAGGACTGCCAGAACCTGGGAAAAGGTGGTACTCTGCATCAGGTGTAGTACAGACACACCTCTACATTGTGACCTCAAGGAGGAGGTGGCCTTGGTTGAAGGGACATTTTGGGAAATCTTGACATAGCGTTCAAGACTGATATATGCTATGAAGAGCAATCCAACATACATGGATATGTAGAAGAGGACGGCATTAAAGCGACATTCGATCATGTTGAGATAGCGGCTGTCTAAATTCATTTTTGCGGCAACTCTGACAGGGAAGGAGAACAACATGAGGATGTCAGCCACAACCATATTCTTCAGGTAGACCACCAAAGCAGAATCTGCTGGGACTCTCAGGAAGATCCAGGCAGCCAGGCCATTTAGACACACACCCAAAGCAAAGATGGCGATGTAGAGCGACGGAAGGACCTGCCTGGTGAAGGTAGAACTGAAGTCCGTCTTGTTGGTAGGGAGCTTAGAGGAATTAAGGAGGTCCATACCTGAAAACAAAATCAACAAAAAATTCAATAAATATTTATCTGGAAATGTTTGGCTTAGAATCTGTCAGATACAGGGATTTAACAAGCTAAAAACCCTTTATCAAAATTGTCTAAGCTAAGGAAATTGCTTAATATACTATGGCTTTTTTTCTTCAGGCTTTGTGTCTGTATCCCAATGAAAGGGACCAATAAACCACATCTGGCAAGGGGTACAGGATGTATGTTTTCCCGATAATTGCTCCTTTTTTCTTGCCAGTTGAATAACTTACCTTTTACCTGCTTTTTCTTTGATCTCAATGTGTTCTGGCTGAATTTTTGTCAGATTATTGCCAAGGCACACTTGTTGCTAATGTTAAATAGAGGTCAAAGAAAATTCAGATCCAAATCAAACCAAGGCTTAGCAGTGCTTTGCAGTGAGTATGTGTATGACATAATAGACTGTAAACTAAATTACATCCCCTTGTTTTGTGTTATCTTGATTCAATATTATGTTTCATAATGTAAATCCTTCATTAAGCTCCATTTCTCCCATTGATACAATACAATCGCAATACAACATTGTAGCAGCTTCTGAAGGAAGTGGTGACTGCTAATTTGTAATCGTCTGTTAATAGTTCTCGGCAATAAAGAAACAAGAGAGAAAATATTTATAGTGCAACAATTTTGGTGGCCCATATGTGGAAACAGTGGTGCTTCATTAAAAGGAAGAGTGACACTCCACCACACAAGTGATAGAGTTAGAGTAACCAGAAGACCAGTTGAGGTTTGTTTATGTGCTAAAATCTCTATCAGACAAAGAAATCTGGCTATTTGTTTGGACTGTTCTGATTGAGCTGGACCAATCAAATTGAACTGCATTGGATGCTTCGAAGCCTCTTCTCAGAGTGCAGCGGGGAGAACAGTCCATGGTGGGGGTGTGAGGGGTCATTGAAAATGTTATGGGCTCAGGACACACAGCGCTGGGATGAAATGTCTTTTATGGAGGGAAGAGGAGCCCCGATGATCTTCTCTGCTATTCTTACCACTCACCTCACCAGTCTGAGGTGCTGCAGCCTCCACACCACACAGTGAGACAGCTGGTCAGAACGCTCTCTATGGTGCTTCTGTATAAGGTGGGGAGGATGGGTGGGGGCAGATGGGCTCTCCTCATCCTCCACAGGAAGTAAATGCGCTTCTGTGCCCTTTTGACCAGTGAAGTGTTGTTTACATTCCAGGTGAGGGTGTCTGTGATGTGCATCCCCAGGAATTTGGTGCTGTTGACCACCTCTACAGCGGAGCTGTTGATGAGCAGTGGAGCGTGGTTAGGACGGTTCTTCCTGAAGTCCAAGATGATCTCCTTCATCTTCTCCACATTCAGGATCAGGCTGTTATCTTTGCACCAGTCCACCAGCTGCTCCACCTTCTCTCTGTAGTCCAGGTCTTTGTCGTCTCTGATGAGGCCCACCACCGTGGAGTCGTCTGCAACTTCACCATGTGATTGTTGGTGAACCTGGAGACGCAGTCAAGTGTCATCAGGGTGAACAGCAGGGGGCTCAGGACGCCGCCCTGAGGGGAGCCTGTGCTCAGGATGATGACATCAGAGGTGTTCTGTCCAACCCGGACTGACTGAGGTCTCTCTGTGAGGAAGTCTAGCAGCCAATAGCAGAGGGGTGTATTAAATCCCAGCTGTTCCAGTTTGCCCATCAGACTCTGTGGGATGATGGTGTTGAAACTGAACTGAAGTCCAGGAACAGCATCCGGACGTGGGTGTTCTTCTCCTCCAGGTGTGCCAGGCTCAGGTGGAGAGCAGCAGAGGTGGCGTCCTCAGTGGAGCGGATGCGTCGGTAGGCAAACTGGAACGGGTCGAATGTTGGCGGCAGACTGGAGACGATGTGTTCTTTAACCGGCTTTCGAAGCACTTCAGGATTATTGAAGTCAGTGCGACAGGCCGGTAGGCATTGAGTGAGGTGACCTGAGGCTTATTTGGGACCAGAATAATGGTGTAAATAAACATTAATTTAGAAGTTTTCCCAGAAACCAGGATAACAACAGATCGGAGCTTATTAGGAAACCACATTTGATCTGTTTTATTTCTTTTTCCTCTGGAGTGTTGATGAGTGTTGTCAGAAGCTTAGAATATTAAAACTACTTAGATGGAAAAAAGGAAATTAGTATCTGTATATAGCATCATATGTAAATCTCCTGTTCCATTTAATAGTGTTGAAAAGCCACAACTTCTGCTTTTTGCAGCCAAACAAAACAGGGCAACAATCATTACAGGTGTTTCATCCATTAGAGAAAAAAAGGACTCATGTAACTCATATTTGCTGGTCATTTGTTAGGCAAAGCTGGCTCTGTGTAGCACTCTGTGTCTATTTGAGAGGGTGTATCGGTGATGAGGTGATGTCAGCTGCGGCAAGAACAATGTAAACAGTTTGTTTGTATGCATCATGCTTGACAAGTGCACCAACTATCATAGTAAATCTGCTTCTACCATCCAGAATAGAAGAGTTCCTCCTTAAGAGTGATGACCACAGAAGATATGTGGTTCTGAAGGATGCTGTCTGTTGAGGCTCACAGTTTCCTCAACCACATCATCAGTGGCTGCACTTCCACAGATTTAAAAAAAAAATAATAACAATAATTCTTTAAACACATTTTTTTCCCCACCAGGATGAGGTTGTTTCTCCAAATTAGACTTAGACTTAGACTTGACTTTATTAATCCCTTGGGATTACTCCCTTTGGGAAATTGTATTTCCAGTAGCAGGAAAAAAATTGCACATACAAGAAAATAGAGGATGTTTAGGCACAGTATATACAATAGAAAAATAAAAACAATTAAATAAAAGAAAACATTTATTTTCTTCTCACAAGTCATTTGATAAACACCAAGAAGTTGATACTGGCCAGAAAGGAAAAGCAGATGATAGGAAGAAGTAGGAGGCTGATGGCAACGCATTGTTTTTTTAAATGAGTGATCACATAACCAGACAAAATCACGCGTAAATTTGGCGATAGTTAAATTGGGGTTTTTCTGTATTAGCTGGGTACAGACAAAGTGGTGCACATTTGTAATGTAATTGCCGCTGGATGGATATGTGGAGTTAGGAAGCTTGCAAGAAAAAAGGTTAAAATATATTTAATGTCCTCAGACGGAGAGAGATAGAGCTCTAAATGAGGCAACCTTAGTAAATACATTTATACCTTATAAAAATCCCAACACATACTCCCCCCAGGGGAGCCAACCCACCTCCTGCATAAAGAACTTTTTTCACACTTGAACATTTGGAGGAAAACAACTTGAGTTCATTAAGGCCATCCGCTGTTAGGTTAATATATCTTTCACTTAAAACAACAATCCTCCCCTTCATGCCATGAAGGAAGCTGTGTAACTCATTCTTATCTCTCATGACCTTTTGTTTAGAGCATGTGAGGCTAAGAACAGACATATCTCAACATTTTTTACTCCATGGATGGATGGATGGATGGATGGATGGATGGATGGATGGATGGATGGATGGATGGATGGATGGATGGATGGATGGATGGATGGATGGATGAGCAAACAGACGGATAGATTGCAGAACAAGAACTAATTCAACACACTAACCCAAATTTGAATGGACACATTGTTAAAATGACATGAGACTACTACTTTTAAGAAAAACCAAAATATTAGACCAAAGACCTAATAACAGCTACTGTACGGTCTCCTTTTCTTTCTGTTTTATATTTCTACTCTGTGATTCTTTGTGCCACATCATTTTGCCTGATTTGCCTGCTGAATTTCCTCAATAGTGCGACAACAACGGATATTTTTAGATTTTTGCATTCTATCATCAACTCATCAGCTCTCGAACCGTAGTAATTTGACTTCATAACATGTTTTAGAACCATAAAAATCACACATCCTGCATTTTATTTATGTTCATGCTTTGATCCATCTTCCTGATGTGCATGAAACAAAATCTCTCTTTGCTGCTGTAGATAAAGGCTAAAAACGTACCTTTTTTGCCTGCCTTGCCGTGCTCCTTTCTGCGTTTGAGACCTGATGTCCAAGTTCTCCTCTACCTCAGTGGATGTAATTTATTTACCATGTTGCTGCAGACGGGTATTTTCCTGTCCGCCTCCGTGGTTCTCATCGTCAGAGTGACCAAAAGCCCCACCTCCCTAAAATAAACTCTGGTTAACCAGTTTCTGCAAGACGTTTGCAGATAAAAGATAATGACAACTAGGCCACAGTAAATATGAACCTAAAGGTGTATCTTATTAGCTTCTTTCCCGGCTTTGCATATTAACACATTTCCTATAACAAGGAGTAAAACAGGTTGCACTAAGCATCAATAAACACTAACAGACAAGCCACAGACTTGTTTACAAAATGTACTTTCACAATTGATCATATAAGCAGAGTGTTTGTGTGTAGAAGGGTTGATAAACAGCAGAAGCCCAGCATAAAAACATGTGGAAATCTTTTCTGTTTGTAACTTGTTGAGGAAATTTTTAATTAGCAAAGAGTAAAATGCTGTTTCAATAAAAAGAAAAGATCAGTCTTGTCTTTATAAGTTTATTGGAAGGCAAAGAAGCGTTAGGGCACAAGTTTAGTGGATCAGTGAAAAATGTGAGCACAGAGGTGAAGCTCGACAGACCTTTATAAGGTTTACATTAGAACAGGGCGAGGATGTGTGTGAAAGAAGGGTGCCCAATACCCAATGGAAGAGTCCACTTTATCAGGAAACAATAAACAAATCATTTTGGAGATGTAAAACTTTTAGAGATTTCTGTAATAAAACTCTGACATCCTGTTGTCAGGACCTCAGAACTTTGGACCCGGTATTCAGACAGATCTGGGAAGTTGGTAACAAGCTTTATTTATGTGAGCGCGACGAGCGGAGCGGTTCCTCTGCAGAGATGGGAGATCACAGGTCAGTGACAGGAATATCAGGCTGATGATGTCTAGGAGTAAATTTACTGACCGGGTTAAACGTCCCGGAGGTAGGAGAGGAATCCGGAGTGGAGGAATGTCCAACGCTTGCGGCAGTAGCCGCTTCCAATGCTCCAGGCGAACGGATGAGCTGGTGCACGCCAACGCCAAGAAGGCAACAATGTCCAAGAAGGAGAAACCAAGCCAAGGTGAGTGACACAGTCCAGCTTTGGTACACAGGTAAAATCCAGGAGAGTTTGTCTTCTGCCCCCGCTGTCTCTGGATAGAAAAGCTGTGTGTGCGGAGAGCGATTGTTCTCCATTCGAAGCGGCAGTTTCTTACGTTTGTGTGATTTTTTTGTGTTTTGTAGATAAACCATTGGCACAAGTAGTTTGTATGTTCATTTTGCTCGCTGGCATTTTGAAATAAATATGACGCCATAGAACCTTTCCTTTTTTTTTCAAGGGAGAGTTGGAATCCCTACACATTTTAGAGCAGAGGTCACGGATTAGCAGACCGCGGTCCGGATCCGGACCCACCTGCTGGCTAATCTGGACCCAGCCTGATGAAAAACCGCAGGATGTCTGACGACAGTGTCTAACTTCACTTTCGCTGCTTCTCCTGTTTGTATGGTAAAGTCTTTCCGAGTGTCTGGCACCAGGCTGCACGTGATAGAAATTAGCCAATGAGCTGCTCTCAGTCTGGGTTGCTGCTGCTGCTACTTTTAGACAAAGCAGGCAAACCTGTGACAAGCCGGGCGATGGGAAAGAAGGAGAAGATGATGAGAAAAAGTGGAAGAAAGACTTGACTGCTGGAAGAACTGCTGTAAACTGGTGAAAGAAAAGTGAAATGGTGCTCAACGATGAACCTGCACATTTAGAGTATGTTATGCTCAACCTGCTTCTTTGAAGCAGGATTCTCCACCATGAACAGAATCAAAAATAAATATGGATCCAGGCTCAAAATGAGCATCTTGCAGTGATGGGCAGTAGCGCCGCTACATGTAGCAGAGCTATTAGTTTAACTACATTTTCCAGTAGCTTGACCGTAGCGTCGCTGCTTTATTTATCAAGTAACTTTCCTGTAGTGACGTTATTGCTTTGATCAAGTAGCGACGTAGCGTCCACCAACACTACAAAATCCAGGGCATAACTAAGAAATGAAACCAGGTTTTCTATTTTGAAACAACAATCAGAGTTATTCGTTGGACATTCACGCATGAGCCTCTATTCTGCCTCTTCTGTGTGTATCTACCGAAACATGTGCACGGCAGTGGAACTCAAAGAATGACCCACACAGACACACGCACACACACAGAGCCACACACACAGGATGGAGGTGGAGACAGGAGCAGAGCGAGAAGAGCAGCCATCTGTCCCTACCTTATCTTCAGAGATTATGAAACTTGTTGAATCCTAAGATTAAAAAAATAAGTGTACAGATGTCTGCTTTGCAATAAAAAAAACAGTTGTCAACAACCAGGATATCCAACACCAACCTGAGAACTCACAATCAGGTGAATCACTATTTTCCCTCCTGCAGTATGCAAGTAAAAATATCTTGCGTCAGTGTAAATCCCAACTCACTTTAGCCAAATGCTGTATGTAAATTAGTAAAACGAAAGCTACCCACCTACCAACAAGCAGTGTGTGATGGAAAGTATCATGGTTTTGGTTCTGTTGTGCTTTACTTTGCTCCTTGTTTTCTAGTTTTATTGGTTTAATTCCTATTTTGTTGTAATTTCTAGATTTATGTTAGTTCTCATGTTTTTCTGTTGTCCTCTGTTGCCCTCTTGTGTGTGTGTGTGTGGGTGTTCCTTTCCCCTTAGCTCCCTCGTTGTCTCCTCACACCTGCTCCTTGTCAGCTCGTTAGCCCTCCCTTTGTCTTTGTCAGCTATATATGCTCTCCCTCTGCTCTCACTCTTGGTTGGTCCTGTCATCGCTGCAATCGTCTCCCCTCGTCTCTCCCTGGCTCCTTCTACTAGTTTTCCCTTGATATCTCCATGGTTCTGGTCTGTTACATTTTAGTTGGATTTTTGGACTGCCTTTGTTACCCTTTTTTTTTTTCATTAAAACTACAAGTATTCACCTCAGCCTCTCTGCCTCTGCATTTGGGTCCTCCAAACCTCAACCAAGAAGTGACGGAAAGGGACTAGCCAAGTGGCTAAGCAGAAGTGTTTTTTAAAAAAAAAAAAAAAAAAAAAAAGCTTATGCAATTTTTATAATTGTAACATGAGTGATTTTCAAGGTTCTTGGCCATAGAGAGCTCATGTGGCCAAGATTAGCCATTTGTTTTACATAGCCAAACACTCATTAAAACAGTCAACTACAGTATATTTTTTGAAATAAAAATGTGAAAAATATATCAGCTTTAATTTCATTGGCACCTTTAATTTCCAGATAGTTCAATCTGATGTGTGCCACTAAGATACTCTAATTAGAGAGCAGTAGTGAAACTTCGATATTATATTTTCATGGCCTAATTTACCAGACAGGATGTTTCCATAAATCTGTTTTAAGGCTTTGCAAAGATAAGATTTTTTTAGGGATAGAGGAAAAGCTCTACAGTATATACAATAAATACATAAATAAATAAATGCTCAATAAATAAATAAATAAGCATTCAATTAATTGCCCCCAAAAATACAATGAATAAATGTGTAGGTAGAAATTAAATTATATGGTGAGACATAAATGTATATATATCTCTTAATTAGCTTCTTTATTTTTTTCATCCTTTTTGTAAACAGTTTCATTTGTTACTTGAATCAACTGTTTAATTGAGGTCTGAAGAAGTTTTCTCTAAGGGAGACCCTAAAGAAATAAGATGCCTTTTGTAGGGTTTTGTTTTCCCTAGAGATGTCCATTGAATGCAAACTCATAGCCATGTCTCCATGTGTAGAACACTACACAGTACCTTTAATTTGGTTCTAATAACAACAGATTGTTTACTAGTTTGTCTACTAGTAATTACTTTAGTTTTTATTTTAATATGCTGATCATAAAGCAATGTTTACACTGTGTTATGTCATTGGCTGATCTTTAATAAATATTTTAACCAGTGCATCAGACTCATTTTGAATTGATATTAGGTTGGTACAACGTTAAGTAGCTTCTCATGTAGTTAAGCTACTTTTAACACATTAGAGTAACTTAGCTTGCTATAATTCTTTAGGTGGTAGCTTTGGTGTAGTGAAGCTTAATTTATTGTTGAGTAACTGATAGCTTAGCTCGCTACACTGGACAAGTAGCTTGTCCAACACTGGCTCATTGATATGAGCTTTAGAATGGCTTTGTCTCCATTCAAACCCAGGTTTAAAGCCTTGCAGGGCAGCATAAAGCCCACTGCTCTCATTAAGCCAGAAAAAAGAAGTTCAGGTGTTTTATAAAATATGTGAACCAGGAAATTGTCTATGTACCAAACTGAACCGTTGTTGTTCTTTACTTAAAAAAAACCCACTTTAAAATGGAAACATTTTCTTTTTTTTTTATTTAAAAAGTCATGATACAACATGGATGCATTAAAAACTCTTTTTTTTTCAGTGTTAAATTCTGTTTTAAGTAACCGGACATTTACTGGTTGTTGATTTTCTTTATTCGAACCCTGCTGACTTTTAATTGGTTACCCTTGTTTTAGACAATGCACACCTCTTGGTGTTTTAACATGTGATGTATAAAAGATATATTTCTTGGTATGATTTGGTATGAAAGCGAACAAACCACTGGGCCTCAGTTGTTTCTCTAAAAGCAAGATGGCAGTAGGAGTTAGTTTAGCACAGCAGAATAAAGGAAGCGTCTTCAGGAACTATATCCTTATGACATAGGAGACCAAGGCAAAGATCATAATGATCATTATTTTGGAATTTAGCAAATATATTAGCTGATCTAAGTTTATGATAAAACTGAAAAACTCATACCAGTAAATATCTGGTTTCATCTCAACTAGCTTCACTTTTGAGAATCATCCTCCTCAGGATGAAGATCTTCATGGTCACTCACTCTCCTCCCGTTTTATATTTTAAGGTGAACAAACAGACATCATATATCAACCAACAAGCTGCACAGTTCAATTAAATATAACAAAATAAAAACAAGAAAAAGAAAATATAGTCCAAATGTAAAGAAAATACTTTGTTATAAGAGAACATCAAACTC